AAAGCGTCAATACAGGACTAAGATTGAATCCTACTACATCGGCTCTGACGCTCGTCGGATGTGGCAGGGCTTGCAAACTATTACGGACTACAAAGGAAAACCCAGCTGCGAGCTGCCCAGTGACGCAAGCCTATCAGACGCGCTAAATGCCTTTTATGCAAGCAACACTGACGCATGCATGAGAGCACCAGCTGTTCCGGACGACTGTGTGATCACACTTTCCGTAGCCGATGTGAGCAAGACCTTTAAACAGGTCAACATTCACAAGGCCGCGGGGCCAAGCTGATTACCAGGGCTTATACTCAGAGCATGCGCTGACCAACTGGCAAGTGTCTTCACTGATATTTTCAACATCTCCCTGACCGAGTCTGTAATACCTACACGTTTCAAGCAGACCACCATAGTCCCCATGCCCAAGAATGCGAAGGTAACCTCATAAATGACTACCACCTCGTAGCACTCACGTCGGTAGCCATGAAGTGCTTTGAAAGGCTGGTCATGGCTCACATCAACACCATCATCCCTGAAACCCTAGACCCACTCCATGTCGCATACCGCCCCACAGATGACGCAATCTCAATGGCACTACACACTGCCCTTTCCTGCCTGGACAAAATTAACACCTATGAAAGAATGCTGTTCATTGACTACAGCTCAGCGTTCAACACCATAGTGCCCACAAAGCTCATCACTAAGCTAAGGACCCTGGGACTAAACACCTCCCTCTGCAACTGGATCCTGGACTTCCTGACGGGCCGCCCCCAGGTGGTAAGGGTAGGTAACAACACATCTGCCATGCTGATCCTCAACACGGGGGCCTCTCAGGGGTGCGTGCTTAGTCCCCTCCTGTACTCCCTGTTCACCCACAACTCTGTGACCAAGCACGACTCCAACACCATCATTAAGTTTGCTGACGACACAACAGTGGTAGGCCTGATCACCGACAACAATGAGACAGCCTATAGGGAGGAGGTCAGAGACCTGGCCGTCTGGTGCCAGGACAACAACCTCGCCCTCAATGTGAGCAAGACAAAGGAGATGATCGTGGACTACAGGAACAGGAGGCAGTCGTGAAGAGGGCACCTTTTCCCCCTCAGGAGACTGAAAAGATTTGGCATGGGTCCCCAGATCCTAAAAAAGTTATACAGCTGCACCATCGAGAGCATCCTGACCGGTTGCATCACCGCCTGGTATGGCAACTGCTCGGAATCCGACCGTAAGGCGCTACAGAGGGTAGTGTGTACAGCCCAGTACATCACTGGGGCCAAGCTTCCTGCCATCCAGGACCTCTATACCAGGCGGTGTCAGAGGAAGGCCCAAAAATTGTCAAAGACTCCAGTCACCCAAGTCATAGACTGTTCTCTCTGCTACCGCACGGCAAGCGGTACCGGAGCGCCAAGTCTAGGTCCAAAAGGCTCCTTAACAGCATCTACCCCCAAGCCATAAGACTGCTGAACAATTAATCAAATGGCTACCCAGACTATTTACATTGACCCCCCCCGCTGCTACTCGCTGTTTATTATCTATGCATAGTCACTTTACCCCTACCTAAATGTACAAATTACCTTGACTAACCTGTAACCCCACATATTGACTCGGTATTGTGCCACGTACTGAGGATACGAAGAGGCAGGACGCAGACGCAGGAATTAACAAGGTCAAGGTTCACTTGAGTAAGAGAAATAATAAAGAGAGAGTAAACGACACGAAGCTTAACAATCACACACAACATCATCCAGAACAGTCCAGGGCTAAATAGGGGTGGTGATGAGATGATGAGGTGCAGGTGCGCTGGAGGTGATTTAGGGTGCGTTGGGTTTCCATTCCGGTGTTGCCGAGGTGGTGCGCTCAGACCGGTGGCTCAGTAGACCGGCGAATCAGAACGCCGGAGGGGAGCAACGGGAGGAAATGTGACCGGTATCATGTATATAGCCTCGTTATTGTTATGTAATCTTATTGTGTTAATTTTTATTTTATTTTTTACTTTTATTTAGCAAATATTTTCTTAAGTCTTATTTCCTGAACTGCATTGTTGATTTAAGGGCTTGTAAGTCAGCATTTCACGTCAAGGTCTACATATTATATTCGGCGCATGTGACAAATAAAATGTCATTTGATTTGATTCATTGTCCAGGAGCCAAAGGCGCAATCCTAGTCATATTAGCAACCCATGCTAGTTGTTACATCTTTAGATCTCCCGTCTTTCTATATTTCTGACGGATATTTTCATCTGAAACCGCTGGCATGTGCAGTGCCCTTTTGACAACGGTGTTTTCCAGCTAATTGCGTTATGGAACGAACATTCGCGTGTAGCCTACTGCCGTGTTTGCATTGCTGCCCTTATAATGTGAATAAATAATAGTTTATCAACATTTTAAGCTAAAGGTTCTGATCAGTTGCATCAGACTCATTGCTTTAAAAAAATATTAATATATTATGTTTCTTCTGGTTGTTGCTTTATCGTCCCAGAGTCAGAGGCTATTTCTTTCTCGACAAGCTGACCAGTAGAATAGGTCAACCTTTCTACTATGGGAGATTGACATAGGCTGGTGATTTTGCTGTTCGTTACTCGTCTTGTTGGCTGAGGAAAAGTAGATGTGGACAGTTATTCTAACATGTTCAAAGTGCGCATCAGAATTCGCCAAGAAGGACCGCATGTTGTTGCATCCTCGATTTGCATGTTCTGTTAATATGAATTACCATAATCTAAATGTGATTTCTGTCATTCTGAGCACCGTGGGTGGATGCCTTAATCAGATTATGCACCCAATGCATATGGGTCTGGTAAATTTCTCAATTGTCCGGTAAATTAAAATTCTGCCAAACGGAAACCCTGGTGTGTGTGTGCATCTATCAGTTCCACATACATGTCAGTACATACACACAACAAGTAGATCACATGGGGGAGAGGCGTGGTGTCGTGAGGTGTTGCTTAATTTGTTTTCTGAAACCAGGTTTGCTGTTCACTTGGTCTATATAAGATGGAAGGGAGTTCCATGCACTCATGGCTCTGTATAATACTGTACGTTTCCTTGAATTTGTTCTGGACCTGGGGACCGTGAAAAAAACCCTGGTGGCATGTCTGGTGGGGTATGTGTGTGTGTGTGTGTCAGAGCTGTGTGTAAGTTGACTATGCAAACAATTTGGAGTTTCCAATATTAATGTTTCTTATAAAAACAAGAAGCAATGCAGTCAGTCTTCCCTCAACTCTTAGCCAAGAGAGACTGGAAGATCCAAGATGGCGTAGTACTGCAGTCCTGTTTTAGTCGTGTCTGTAAATACCCTGTTTTTAGTTTTTAGTTTTTTTCGTACATATTTCCCTATCAGACTTTTCATCCTTCTACTAAATATACTTTCCTGCAACCCGCCTCACTCAATGTGGAACGGATTCTATTATTGACTTACCTTTTATCTAGAATCGCCAGTTGAAACTAGCTAGCCAGCTAACTAGCTACTTGCTATTAGCCACCGTTAGCGGTATTTCACCCATAGTTCTGAGGTTGGAATAATAATGTGAAAAACCCTTTTACTGTAAGAGCTGTCTGAAAAGACTGGCTGTTAAATTAGTTAACAGACTGATCTAGACCTCTCTGCCAATAACAGATAGTGTTCAGTTTTCCCCCTCCCCACTCAAACCACTCCCAGATAGTCCTAGCAAAATTCTTGCTTTAGAAATTGCTCTCTGCTAAGAAGCTATTTTTGCTTGTTTTCAATTAAAATGGTAAAAAAGAATCGCAGTATGGTACATAATTGTTACCCAGAAATGATTTGATACTGAGATAAAAACAGCTGCACAAGCAGCAGGATATTGTAAATAAGAGAGATGCAAGACATTGCACTTGCCAAAAACAATCTGCGCCAGTGCATGGTGCTCCCTACCCTGCTGCAACGGGATAACAGCAGTGCATGGTGCTCCTCACCCTGCTGCAACGGGATAACAGCAGTGCATGGTGCTCCTCACCCTGCTGCAACGGGATAACAGCAGTGCATGGTGCTCCCTACCCTGCTGCAACGGGATAACAGCAGTGCATGGTGCTCCCTACCCTGCTGCAACGGGATAACAGCAGTGCATGGTGCTCCTCACCCTGCTGCAACGGGATAACAGCAGTGCATGGTGCTCCTCACCCTGCTGCAACGGGATAACAGCAGTGCATGGTGCTCCCTACCCTGCTGCAACGGGATAACAGCAGTGCATGGTGCTCCTTACCCTGCTGCAACGGGATAACAGCAGTGCATGGTGCTCCTCACCCTGCTGCAACGGGATAACAGCAGTGCATGGTGCTCCTCACCCTGCTGCAACGGGATAACAGCAGTGCATGGTGCTCCCTACCCTGCTGCAACGGGATAACAGCCAGAACAGCAGAGAGGCCCGATATACTGCTGTTTACGTTCAGCTGATTCTGCCTGATGTATTATTTATTTCTAATCAATTGCTTCTCTCTCTCTCCAGGAGGGCGGAGCTGGCTGTATCATGCTGTGGGCGGAGAACCTGACAGTGAGCGTGCTCCGCGGCGGTCGCTGGGAACGACACGACCTCACCTCTCTGACCTTTGGAGAGGGCGTGACCCCTAGGCTCCAGGGCTCCCTCTGCAACCAATCACACTCCAGGTCAGAGGGGTCAGAGGTTAGGGGTCAGCGGTTCTGGACCGGAGGTTATGAACAGTCCTCTGACATCACATCCTGTCTAGAACCTTGTTAGAAACCATGGAAACAGCAGCCTTGCTGAACTTGGACATGATTGGAATTAATTATTATGTTGATCTTTCTCTTCTCTGTTAGTCTGGTTGTAAACTATGAGAATATTCTGGGACATCGCTCGTTCAAACTAGTGTGAGTGGACCGGACACACACACACACACACACACACACACTGTTCTAAACAAACACATACACACACACACACACACACACACACACACACACACACACACACTGTTCTAAACAAACACATACACAAACACTTTTGAACTCATTTTGTGTGTGTCTGTGTGTGTCTCCAGCTTTGCCATGTCCCAGCGTCACTACAAGGTGTCAGCTCGCCGCTGGTTCACGCTAGACAGCGTGGAGATCGAATACGACGGTCAGAAAGCATCGTTTAACGGGAGCCGGAACGTGTACGCACCGGCTGAGTACTCCTACCGCTGTCAGTCAGTCACTAACTTCAGATACCCCCTCCTGGTACCACGCACCTCCAAAGATCCTGCTAACCAGTGGAGGGTCTCATTCACTGACTTCCAGGTAGGATGTGCGTACGGTGTGTGTGTGCGTACGGTGTGTGTGTGCGTACGGTGTGTGTGCGTACGGTGTGTGTGTGCGTACGGTGTGTGTGTGCGTACGGTGTGTGTGTGCGTACGGTGTGTGTGTGCGTACGGTGTGTGTGTGCGTACGGTGTGTGTGTGCGTACGGTGTGTGTGTGCGTACGGTGTGTGTGTGTGCGTACGGTGTGTGTGTGTGTGTGCGTACGGTGTGTGTGTGCGTACGGTGTGTGTGTGCGTACGGTGTGTGCGTACGGTGTGTGCGTACGGTGTGTGTGTGCGTACGGTGTGTGTGTGCGTACGGTGTGTGCGTACGGTGTGTGTGTGCGTACGGTGTGTGCGTACGGTGTGTGTGTGCGTACGGTGTGTGTCTGTGAAACAAAAACAGAATACAAACTGCAAGTTGAAACAACTCTCTCTCTTTCAACCCTCCCCCCCATGCCCTCCCCCACATGCCCCCCCCCTCCCCCCATGCCCCCCCCCCCCCCCCCCCCATGCCCTCCCCCCATGCCCTCCCCCCATGCCCCCCCCCCCCCCCATGCCCTCCCCCCATGCCCTCCCCCCATGCCCTCCCCCCATGCCCTCCCCCATGCCCCCCCTCTAGATCCAGGGCTTCAACGTGGCAGGGGGAGAGTTCTCCTATGCCAGTGACTGTGCAGGGTTCTTCAGTCCTGGTATCTGGATGGGACTTCTCAGCAGTCTACTGATGGTCCTGGTCCTAACCTACGGCCTCCATATGATCATGCAGCTACACACCATGGACCGCTTTGATGACCCCAAGGGACCTGCTATCTCCGTACCACAGACTGACTAACACACACACACACACACACACACACACACACACACACACACACACACACACACACACACACACTGTCATATACAGACAGACAGTCACATACATATAGACACAGACAGACAGACAGTCATAAACAGACAGACAGACAGACAGACAGTCATATACAGACAGACAGACAGACAGACAGACAGACAGACAGACAGACAGACAGACAGACAGACAGACATAAACAGACAGACAGACAGACAGACAGTCATATACAGACAGACAGACAGACAGACAGACAGTCATAGACAGACAGACAGACAGACAGACAGACAGACAGACAGACAGACAGACAGACAGTCATATACATATAGACACAGAGATACTTGTCATTCCTTTAGTTACCATAGCAACAAGACAGCTCAGCAAATAGGAAGGAACAGGAAGGAAGGAGAAGGAAGCAAGGAGCAGGAAGGAAGCAAGGAGCAGGAAGGAAGCAAGGAACAGGAAGGAAGGAGCAGGAAGGAGCAGGAAGGAAGCAAGGAACAGGAAGGAAGGAGAAGGAAGGAGCAGGAAGGAAGGAACAGGAAGGAAGGAGAAGGAAGGAAGCAAGGAACAGGAAGGAAGGAGAAGGAAGGAGCAGGAAGGAAGGAAGGAGCAGGAAGGAAGGGATGGGGTGAAGGGGAATAAGGGATGGGGGAGGGGAGGAAGGAATAGGGAGGAGGATTGGAGATGGACAGGATTATTTGCGTTCTGTAATAGGGACTAAGGTGTGGGGAGAGAATGGGAATAAGGATGGGGGAGAGACGTGAGGAATGATGGATTGGAAGCTAAGGCTGGCTACAGAAGGAATAATGCTTTGGCGTTATGATACAGAGTGGCTATTTCGTTACATAGATGAGGGTTGTCTCCTTCCTTGCCCTGTACTTTCTGGTTCTGCTTTTCCTCATTCTTTGTTTCTTTTGTCTGTCTTCTTCGTTTTTCTTCGTTCCTCTGTCCTCCGTCTTTTTTATTCTTCCTGCTCCTTCTGTTTCGCTTTTCCTTTCTGTTGCGTTCTTCGTCCTTGCCTCCTTCTTGTTTCTTTCTCCGTTTCCTCCTTTCTTTTTCTTTTCCTTTCCTCGCTGTCTTTTTTCTTGTTGTCCTTTTCCTCCTCTTGTTTCTTCTTGCGCTTTTCCTCTCTTGTTTTTGGTCTTCCTTTGGCGGCGTCGCGTTCTTCGTTTTGGGGCTGGCGTCCTCCTGTTGCCGTCCTCCGTTTCTTTCTGGGCTGTCGTTGTCCTCCTTGTTGTCTGTTCCGGGCGTGCGCTGCTGGGTCTTGGCCTTGTTTTTCTTTGCCTCCTTTCTTTGTCGGGTCCTGGTTCCGTGTTCCTGTCTCTGTTTTGGCGGCTGCGGCCTCCTTTTTGGTGGGCGCCGGCTGGCTTCTTCCGGTGCCCCTGCTTCTCGGCCGGATTTTTGTTAACAGGGAGGATCTGGTGACTTGCACGGGCGGAATCTGTTACTGAAGGGAGGAATCTGTTACTGAAGGGAGGAATCTGTTACTGAAGGGAGGAATCTGTTACTGAAGGGAGGAATCTGTTACTGAAGGGAGGAGTGTCAGTCTGTCAATCATTCCTGTCTTATTTGTCATCTTGGTGTAAAGATTGATAATAATTCAATGTGCTGCTGTTCTTTAGTGAGTACAGCCCATGACTGAAGTGGATTTAACAGGTGACATCAATACGGGATCATAGATTTCACCTGGATTCACCTGGTCAGTCTGTCATGGAAAGAGTAGGTGTCCTTAATGTTTTGTACACTCAGTATATATCGTGTTTGACCTTGTGATTGTGTCTTTATAGTCGCTGAGGTTAGTAGTGTTTAGGTCAGCTAGGGCTGTGTCTGAAATGGCAACCTATTCTGTATAGTACCCGCCTTTAGACCTGGGCTCCCACAGGGCTCCCACAGGGCTCCCACGGGGCTCCCACGGGGCTCCCACAGGGCTCCCACGGGGCTCCCACGGGGCTCCCACAGGGCTCCTACAGGGCTCCCACGGGGCTCCCACGGGGCTCCCACAGTACTCCCACAGGGCTCCCACAGTACTCCCACAGGGCTCCCACGGGGCTCCCACAGTACTCCCACGGGGCTCCCACAGTACTCCCACAGGGCTCCCACGGGGCTCCCACAGTACTCCCACAGGGCTCCCACGGGGCTCCCACAGTGCTCCCACAGTACTCCCACAGGGCTCCCACAGTACTCCCACGGGGCTCCCATGGGGCTCCCACGGGGCTCCCACAGGGCTCCCACAGTACTCCCACGGGGCTCCCACAGGGCTCCTACAGGGCTCCCACAGTACTCCCACAGGGCTCCCACGGGGCTCCCACGGGGCTCTGATCTGAAGTAGGGCACTATATAGGGAACAGGCTGCCATTTGAGACGTGGCCTGGGTTTCACTAAGGTTGTGTGTGTTTAGATGTGTGCAGTGTAACAGGGAGTTCCTCTAGGCTTCAACGGGACTAAAGGGTTAAATGTTACTAAGAGGGAAGGTTGAGGCACAAAGACGGATCAGACGGGGGTCAGAGGTTAGGGTTAGATGACCTACCTTGTGTTTACTGTGAAGAAGGAGAACAAATGTTTCTGTTTAATTATTGATTGATTTCAGTTGTTCTGTGGTTTATATGAGTTGTTGTTACTGAGGAAGGCTTGTCTTGTCTTCCTGTACAGAGTTAATATATTATAATATTAGTAGTGTCTCTGGTCCTGTGTGACTGTTATGGTGCTGCTGTGATTAACCCCAATAAAGACTTGAGTGAACAACGTCAATTAAGTCTCTGTGAACATTAGTGTCTGTGAGAGAGAAACACTACTGTGTCTGTAAGAGAAACTACTGTGTCTGTAAGAGAGAAACTACTGTGTCTGTGAGAGCGAAACTACTGTGTCTGTGAGAGAAACGACTGTGTCTGTGAGAGATAAAAACACTACTGTGTCTGTGAGGGAGAAACTACTGTGTCTGTGAGAGAAAAACTACTGTGTGAGAGAGAAACACTACTGTGTCTGTAAGAGAGAAACTACTGTGTCTGTAAGAGAGAAACTACTGTGTCTGTGAGAGAGAAACTACTGTGTCTGTGAGAGAGAAACTACTGTGTCTGTGAGAGAGAAACTACTGTGTCTGTGAGAGAGAAACTACTGTGTCTGTGAGAGAGAAACTACTGGTTGAGGTGGTATTAGTAACAGGTTGAGGTGCTACACAGGTTACCCTCAAAAATGTCCCTGTATTTAGCGCCATCCATCATTCCTTCAATTCTGACCAGTTTCCAAGTCCCTGCCGATGAAAAACATCCCCACAGTATGATGCTGCCACCACCATGCTTCACTGTGGGGATGGTGTTCTCGGGGTGATGAGGTGTTGGGTTTGCGCCAGTCATAGCGTTTTCCTTGATGGCCAAAAAGCTCAATTTTAGTCTAATCTGACCAGAGTACCTTCTTCCATATGTTTGGGGAGTCTCCCACATGCCTTTTGGCGAACACCAAACGTGTTTGCTTATTTTTTTCTTTAAGAAATTGCTTTTTTCTGGCCACTCTTCCGTAAAGCCCAGCTCTGTGGAGTGTACGGCTTAAAATGGTCCTATGGACAGATACTCCAATCTCCGATGTGGAGCTTTGCAGCTCCTTCAGGGTTATCTTTGGTCTCTTTGTTGCCTCTCTGATTAATGCCCTCCTTGCCTGGTCCATGAGTTTTGGTGGGTGTCCTCTCTTGGCAGGTTTGTTGTGGTGCCATATTCATTCCATTTTTTAATAATGGATTTAATGGTGCTCCGTGCGATGTTCAAGGTTTCTGATATTTTTTTATAACCCAACCCTGATCTGTACTTCTCCACAACTTTGTCCCTGACCTGTTTGGAGAGCTCCTTGGTTTTCATGGTGCCGCTTGCTTGGTGGTGCCCCTTGCTTAGTGGCGTTGTAGACTCTGGGGGGCCTTTCAGAACAGGTGTATATATACTGAGATCATGTGACACTTAGATTGCACACAGGTGGACTTCATTTAACTAATTATGTGACTTCTGAAGGTAATTGGTTGCACCAGATCTTATTTAGGGGCTTCATAGCAAAGGGGGTGAATCCATATGCACGCACCACTTTACCGTTATTTATTCTTTTTGAATTTTTTATACAAGTTATTTTTATCATTTCCCTTCACCAATGTGGACTATTTTGTGTCTGTCCATTACATGAAATCCAAATAAAAATCAATTTAAAATGCAACAAAATAGGAAAACCACCAAGGGGGATGAATACTTTACAAGGCACTGTACCGAACTGGCTAAGAGACTATTCAACCCTAACCCTAGCCCTCCATAACTGGCTACGAGACTACTGCAGCTCTGTGGGTGAAACATTTATTGACAATGTTGATACCTTCTGGAAACAAAGCTCGTATTATAAGGAGGATGGGATCCACCCAAATCATTTGGGTTCCTGGATCCTTTCACAGCATTATAAGGCTGCGTTGAGACAATGACTTATCAATGACCCAAGTCCAGCTCATTTAATCCCTACCATTGTGTCGCTGAGTTGTCATAATGCTTCAGCGAATGTACATTATCCTAGGGGCGCTGGAAGACACAATGTAAGGAACCTAATTTATGTCCCTCTTACTGCTCAGAATGCCTCTGCTGATCCCACAGCTATTGTATGCAGTAATCATTTGCCTGTGAACCAGAGTAATACTGTTAGCACTGAGGTGGTGTGCCCTAGTAGGAAGTCCACTGTGTGCAGCTCACCCTGCACTAATAAAAATAACCTGAGTATGTCTACCATCAAGCATCCCAGAAAAGTGTTAAAAATAGCCCACGTTAACATATGTAGCTTAAGAAACAAGGTTCATGAAATCAATAATTTGCTAGTAACAGATGACATTCATATTCTGACTATCTCTGAAACTCACTTAGATAATACCTTTGATGATACAGTGGTAGCAATACATGGTTATAAGATCTACAGAAAAGACATAAATGCCAATGGGGCGGTGTTGT